ACATCCTAACTCATCTCCCTGCTTCTCCTCTTTTTTTCCTGTCATCTGATCTCAGCTCAACTAAGTAATCTTCTTAAAATGAGGTCAAATCATGTCACTCTTCTCAAAACACTCCAGTGGTTTCCTATCTCGTTTAGAATAAAAAACAAAGTCCTTATATAGGCCGACAAGGCCCTGCATGATTTGGCCCTCATTACCTGTCTGCTCTCACTGCCTACTCTTTCCTGTTTCATTGGCAGCTAAATTGGCCTCCATGCTATATCTCAAACATGCTTTCACTTAGGGCATTTGCATTTGCTTTTTTCTCTGCTTGGACAGTTTCCTCTCAGAGATTTGCATGGCTTGCTCTTTCAACCTACTCAGATCTTTGCTTAGATGTTACTCAATGACACTTTCTCTAACCATCTTCTTTAATATTGCACTGACTCCCCTTGCACTCTTTCCACCCTCAGTGGATTTCTCTATAACATTTATTGCCACCTGATATACAGTGTATTTTACTTTTTAAAATATTTTGTCTCTTCCTCCCCCCTCCCAACTAGAATGTAAGCAGGAATTTTTGTTGTTCACTGCTGTATCTTAATTTCTCTATCAAGCATATGTGAGACAAATGGCATTTAGGAAAGAAAGTCTAAGGCAGTGTTCTCAAACTGGGTATCAAAATCTCCTTGGTAACATAAATACATAGATTCCTGAGACCCATCCTAGATAGAGCCTAGAGGATCTTGTATATCATGTGAAGGAATTTGGATTTTATTCCCAAGGCTTTTGAGGAGAGTAATGCTGTTATCCAACCTATATTTTAATAAAGATTATCAAGGATGAATTAGAGTAGGTTAGAATAAGGGGAAAGAGACCTCTGGGGACTGTTGTAATAGTTCAGACAAAAGATGATGAAACTTGAACTAGAGTGCAGCAGCAATGAGAAAGGTAGGATTGTCTGGACTTGGTGATCAACTGGGTGTGAAGGAATTGGAGGAATTTAGAATTTCACATTTTTGGTTTATGTGCTAGGTGGATGGATTGTCAGTCACGCTGAGACAGGCAATGCAGGATGGAAGAGTGAGCTTGAGAAAAGATAGTTTACTTTTGGACATGGTGAATTCGAATTGCTTATGGGGTTATCAGAAAGAAATGTTTAGGAAGATGGGGTGTTGTGTGTGTGTGTGTGTGTGTGTGTGTGTGTGTGTAGGTGAGTGTTGTGTTATAATTATTTTAAGAAAGATATGCATTTGGAAGTTAATTAGGTTTCATGTATCATGAACTAATCTAGACAACCACTAATCTACTTTCTGTCTCTATAGATTTGCCTATTCTGGACATATCATATAAGTGGAACCACACAATATGTGGCCTTTTGTGCCTGACTTCTTTCACTTAATATTTTCAAGGTTCATCCATGTCGTAGCATGGATCAGCACTTCATTCCTTTTTATTGCCAAATATTTCATTCTATGGATATACCACATTAAATTTATCGATTCATTAGTTGAACAGTTCAGTTGTTTCTGCCTTTTGACTATGAATAATAAATAATGCTGCTATGAATATTTATGTGGACATTTTCATTTCCCTTTGGTATATACCAGGGGTCGGCAAACTGCGGCTCACGAGCCACATGCGGCTCTTTGGGTACGTACATGTGTGAATTTACTTATTTTAATAAAGATATAATTAATACTGTTACTTGTTATAATATTACTTTAAATTTTCCTTATTTGTAAAAATATATTTATGGCTCTCGAACAATTTTTAAATTGTGTGAGGGACAGGATTAGTTCTTCCGTCTCAAAAGTTTGCCAACCCCTGGTATATACCTAGGAGTAACATTGATAGATCATATATTAACTATGTTTAACTATTTGAGGAAGTCAGGCTTTTTCCAAAGTGGTTATATCATTTTTCATTCCCACCAGCATTGTATAAGGGTTCCGATTTCTCTACATTCTTGCCAACACTTTTTATTTATTATTTGTTGTTTTTTTTTTATAATAGCCATCCTAGTGTATGTGAAGTGGTACGTCATTGTGGTTTTGATTTGCATCTTTTCATGTGCTTATTCGCCATTTATACATAACTTCTTTGAAGAAATGTGTATTCAGATCCTTTGCCCATTTTTAAATTGGGTTATTGGCCTTTTTATTATTGAGCTACGAGTTCTTTATTTATTTTAAATAAAAATCCCTTATCAGATACATGAGCTGCAAAAATTTTCTCATTCTGTGGGATGTCTTTTCACTTTCTTAATGGTGTCCTTTAAAGCACAAACGTTTTTAGTTTTGATGAGTCCAGTTTATTTTTTCCCCCCTTTGGTTATTTGTGCTATTGGTATCATATTAAGAAGCCATTGCCAAATCCAAGGTCACAAAGGTTTATGCCTGTATTTTCTTCTTTCTAAGAGTTTTGTATTTTTAAATCTTTCATTCTGGTTTTTGATCCATTTGGGGTGCTAGCCTTGATTCTGTCCCTTACTTGCTTGTGACCTTGGGCTGTCCATTTGTCTTTTTTCATCTTCACTTTTTTCATCTGTAAAGTAGAAATTGGGGGGTGTGTGTGTGTGTGTGTGTGTGTGTGTGTGTGTGTGTGTGTAAAACAATAGAAAACGGATCTGTGGTTGCCACCAGCTGAGAGTTAAGGGGTAGAGATATTGACTATGAAGATGAGAGAACTTTTGGAAGCAATGAAAATACATTGTATCTTAATTGTGGTGTTTGTATAACTGTATACATTTCCAGAACTCATAGAACTGTATACCTAAAAGGGGTAAATTATACCTTAATAAACCTGTCTTTCAAAAAAAAAACCATCGTACAGCAACTCTACAAAGAATGTGTTCTTCTCTTCCATTCTGAGGTTAGAGGAAACCGAGGCTCAGAAGGGTTAGTGGACTTGTCTGTGGTCCCACCTTTGGTATTCCAGGAGTTGAACCTAAAGGTGCCTGATCACAGAGCTTGTGATCTTATTACTCATTTTTAGCCAGCCCTTGAAACTATTAACAGTGTATGGATTCTATTGTAAAAGGCTGACTGACCTTCCCTTGAAAGCCAGGAACCCGGTATGCCGGTGAGCAGCTCCCCAGAAGTGGCTATCATATTCTTACTCCCAGTTTTGAACCCCTGGCAGATCTCACTTCTGCCAGCCATTAGTTGGGATCGGAATCGATGCTGTTACAGAGTGCTGCCCAGGCACGATCTCCTCCTGAGGCCGTGGCCCTCATTTTGGAGCAGCAGGGAACCAGTTTCAAAGCTGATGAGTTTATGTGGTTATGAAAAGCAATTTCATACTTTGTCCAACCAGCAAAATAAGAGTACCTTCTCAGTAGGAGGGTGCTCAGATGTTTGCAGGGCCAGTTGTCTGCATAGCACTTTAACAGTCTTCCTTACACTGGTTTATTTAGCAGAGAATGGGTTGGATAGAAGAGAGAGGCCAAGGCAGGAAAGTCTACAGATAGTCTTCTGTGTGTTGTCGCATCATCGCCATCATCATTTCCATCTGCATGTCACTTGACAGTTTGCAATGTATTTTAACATCTGTGATCTCTCTTAATTCTCTCAGTACCCTGTCAGGAGACTAGTGCTTATATTTAGAGAGTGTGTTACTTGACTGTGTTCTTGGATAACTGGCTGCAAGAATATTTTTTTCCTTAAGTTGTGCTGAAATATATATCTCCTATAACTTTCATCCTCAAATTGTTCTGTTGGGTTGTCGGAAAAGTCATGACATATTTTTTCTGGTTTTCGTTGCAAAAATGCGTCATGATTTTTCCGACAACCCAATAGTTTCAGTTTGCAACTGGTGGTAGTTTAATGTAGCCTTTTGCCCTGTGGTGGTTTGCCAGGGTTGTACATTGGGTACATTTCAGGAAGTTCTATCCTCTGAAATTGACCAGTGGCATTTTCCTTCCTCCCTGTTTGACCATCTCAGCTGCCTCTCCTTGGGAACCCATCTTTTCTTCACCTCTCATTCCAGAACCCTGGACAGACTAATTAATCGCAGAGCAGTTGTCTTCAAGCCAGCTGTTAACTGCTTGTCTTCAACCTTTATTTGACTTGTTTCCTATCCTGAGGTGCTATAGGAAAAGTTAATAACCTAAAAAATTGCCCATCTATCATGTGAGCCTACTTAGGAGGGAATTGTTTGATTTTTATGAAGTGTAAATAATATATTTAGAGACACATTTTCAAACATGTGTTGTCCTGTTTGTCAGAGATGGTTCCCTAAACAAGGTGGGACAAATTGCCTGGCCAGTAGAGCTTAATGACAGATTTTCCGTTAATCAGAATGGAAAATTGCTTCATTAAGATAATTAACAGAGTGCTTGTGCAGGAGATACTTATTCCACACAAAGTTCCAAGTTTATTACTTTCCCTTGAATAAATTTTGAAAGAGGTCTTGGCTGTGTTTCCGTGTTTGCATTAAAATGATCAATGGCAATACATTCCTGTTTTTTTCCAAAGCTGTTAGTAACTGGTATCTTGTCCTCGGCAGGTGCAAAGGGTGAGTGAGACACTTGCTGCTCTTCCTTCCAGCAGTCTGTGTGCTTATCATCAGGCACTGGGGCTCCCCTGGTGAACAGAAGTGTATCCTTTCCTAATTCCTGGACTAGCGTTCTTAGAAAGGACCTCGGAGAGCCTAAACTAATTGATTTTACATCAGTACAGTGAAATCCAGAGAGGGGAAGTGGCTTGGCCAATGCCACACAGTACACTAGCGACAGAATCATCTGTGGGATAGTGGAACTAGTACTGAACTGAGAGCCAAAGGCCTGGGTTGACATTAGGCAAGTTTTATCACCTCTGTGCTTCCCAGTACCTTCATCTGTATAACAGGGAAAGTGTCTCTCGCAGGGCCAAGTACAAACAAATGGTTTTTTATTTAGTCCTCATCTCCTTTATCATGTTGCTCCTCTGTGAGTGTAAACTGAAGATTATAAAGAGGAAGCTGATGTCAGGGAGAATGAGTACTCAATAATCAGTGCTGTTTTCTTTGTTTTTCCGTAGGATCCTCAGTCTTCCGCAATGAACCCTGTTTATAGCCCCGTGCAGCCTGGGGCTCCTTATGGCAACCCTAAGAACATGGCCTACACAGGTGAGTGATGTGATAATGGCTCTCATTTTGAGAAATGGTGGTTAAGGACATTACCAAATAACTTGCTGAACAACTTTTGGTATACTGTCCTCCAAAAACTCTGGTAAACTTTGGGAACTTAAAGAAGGGAGACATGTCTGGGGTCCAGTGGAGATTGAAATGACATTATTAAGACTAAGGATTACTGAATTGTCAACTTGGAGTAAGGAAGGTGGGTAACATTGATTTATTGAGTACCTACCATGGGCCTGGCCCTATGCTGGGCACTTTGATCTTAAAGCAGTTCTATACGTGCAGCTTATCATCACCATGTCACAGGTGAGAAAACCATAGTCGCAGTAAGAGGCCACAAAACAAAACAAAAATAGATGCTTGAACGCAGGTCTGATGATTCTAAAGGCTGATTTTTTTTTTCTTCCCCTGAATTGTATCATAGTTTCCTACTTCTCTGGCTTTATGTATGTTGTCCCTCTGTCTGGAATGCCATTGTCCCATGACAACTTCATCTGTAAGAATTCAGCTCTGAACTCAGACAGCGCTTTTCCAGGAAGCATTCTATCCCTTACTTGGCCTTAGGCAAGATTTTTAACCTTCCAGAGCCTCAGTGTCCTCATCGTAAGGAAGCCCATAGCATGGCTTTATTTCATAGGGCTGCTGTAAGGATTAAATGAGCTAGTGTAAGGCATTCAGCATATAATATCTGGCACAAAGTAAGTGCTTAATAATGGTTGTTATTATCTATAAATAAATAAAGATGGGTAGGATGCATGGTAATGGAAATGAATGAGAAAATGTATTAAGTTGCTAACATGGTGCTTTACATATCACCAGCCTTCAAAAGTACGATGAATTTAAATCCAAGGTGAAGGTAACAGTATGAACAAACCCATGGAGGTAAGAAGGTATGGTCAGAGTACAGTAGATACTGGAGATTAGCTGGAGGAAAGAGTATATAAAAAGGGAAAAGTGGGAAACGAAGCTCAAAAAGATTTAATAATGGTCTTGATGGATCTCAGGGAACTTTGGTTGTTCTAAATTTTGTTCTTAAGAACACTAGGGGGTGCTTCAGAAATTCCTGAAATATTTGATTAAAAAAAAATATTTAGAACTATTTTTATAAAGCATGCATAAGCAAAAGTTGATCAGTGTGTTAACTTAAGCTTCTAAGAATGCATGTTAATTAAAAAAAAAACACTGCCAACATTTGCAGCTACTTATGTTTAAATAACATTCAGAAACATAACAGAGGTTGAGCCTGATAGCACTATAGCTGTCATCACTAACTTTCAATTTCTTATGTTTGTGTTTATCACAGCAACTTTATTATCTTAATTTATCCTTAATAGTAACTATTGGGTTGTCGGAAAAGTCATGACGTATTTTTTTCTAAGTTTTTCATTGCAAAAATGCATCATGACTTTTCCGACAACCCAATATTTTCCGTTTGAATTTCTGTTGTATGGTTATCGTAATAAAACTAGTTCCTGTAACCAGGACCCACTGGGCAGAACCTCATGCCTGACTAGCTCAGGGAGCCAGTTGCTGTTTCCCTTCCCAGTTCAGTGTTCCTTCCAGCAACCTAAGCGCCTTTGCCAGAGAAGACTGAGCTGCTTTGGCAAACAGAGCCCAGGGGAATCTTGTGGGTTTCCTGTGATCCTGGCTGCCTTCATTTTTACTGAATTGCTAAACTTGAGAAAGAAGAAAACAGTTGCATTTATCTATTGATTTGCACAGAGGTTAGGCGGCATGATATACTGGAAAGGGAACAGACTTGGTCTATGCATAGTAGAACTTAACTTGATAAATGTTTTTCGATTGACTGAACAACCAGTTTCAAATCCCAGCTCTGTCAGATAATAGTTGGTGACTTTGAACAAGTTGCTTAACCTCCCTAAATTTAATTTTTCTTTTATAATATGGGATAATACTATCTATTTCAAAGGGTAGTGCTGAGAATTAAATGAGGTAATTACAATAGTACTCTTTCAGAAGGAGAAAGGGAGGACTGTCTTTGTTTCTGCTAATCACCAAGGAATATTATCATCCTGGAACAGTTTTAATTTCTTTTAAAAACCCTAGATTCCAGGACCACACAGGTAGTATAAACGCCACACAACTAGAATAAATTCAGTTTTAACACAGGCCGATGTTTCAAATTCTTAGAGAAACTTTCTTTTTTAACCTAAGCTTCCTGTTGTGTTTCTGTATTTTTGAGTCAGTTTATTTATTTATTGTTTTTACTGACAGTATGATTCCTCTAAGGTCCCAACTTTATGCAGGGGAATTTGAGTTCTAGCTCATGGCTTCTCCAAGGCCCAAAGCCTCATCTCCCACCCACAGTGGCTTTAAAAAGCAAGCCCTTTGATTGCCCAGACCAAAAAACCAGTTCAACATCAGCTACTATGAGAGTTCTTGTTTTTTAGTTTCCTTTACATTTTTTACCCCTGGAGGTTTCTTTTTCTTTCTTAGAATCACAACTCTGCCTTTGTGTGTTATATAACATAACATTTGTTATACTTTATCCACATTTTCTAAGTGTTATGCAGTAGGCAGAGTTTCAGGTTATCTTTTCCTCCACATTGCTAGAAATAGAAAATCCAAGTGATATAATTTGTAAACAAATGCCAAATACAATGCAATAAACGTTTGTTATTGTTAGTAACAATAATGGTTTTGTTAAAGAGTATTAATTACCCTTTGGCAAACACATGCTAGGTACTTCATGTGTATTAATTATAATCTTCTTAATCATAAATGCTATACTACTCTTCCTTCACAGTTAAAGAAACCCGTAGTTTAATTCAGGTCATATGACTTGAGGAAAGATTTGAACTTGGGTCTTTATGATTTCAAAGTGTATGTGCTTTCTGTTACAGCAAGCTGATCTGTCTTAAAATATGTGCTCCTTTCACTGCTCCCAGTGATAAGCTAGGGAAGAGGATTGTCTTTGCAGCTTCTAGGACTAGGGAGCCTCACTTTTGAGAAGCCGGCAGCCCCTCGTGGACTCCCCACCTTAACTAGCACAGATCTGTAAGAATGGGAAAGACACTGACATGTAAGGAGACAATTATAGTACATCGAGATAAGTGCTATCTCAGAGGGATGTGCCACTATATTCCAAGAGTGTAACATAATAAATAGATGTACAAATTGCTGTGGAAACATGGTGGGTATACGAGAGAGGCCACAACTCTGTCAGAGATTGGTGTCAGGAAGGGCTTCTGAGAAGCCATGCTTGGAACTAGTCTTGAAGCATGAGGTGGAGTTCTCAGTTCCAGGTCTGTTCTAATGACTGCAAGATGCTAGACAAATCCTGCCTACCTTTTCTCTCTCTTTAAATTTTAATAAGACTCAGTTGGTTAAGAGCTCACTCAAGAGTTTGAGCTCTGAGCAACAGCNTCTGAGCAACAGCGGTTCGAGTCCAGCCCGAGCTGAGCAGCCGCTGAGCTGCCAACAGGTAGCAGGATGGCTCAGAAAAAAAAAAAAAAAAAAATTTTTAATAAGAGTTTATTTGAATCAAACAGATGACATATATGGGGAGCAAGATCTCAAATGCTCCCTCCTGCCCATCTCTTGCCTTCACTTTCCCATCCAGGCCGTGAAGGGCTTACCTGAGTTGTTTAAGTTTCCCTTCCAGCTCTTAACATTCTGGGCATTAATCTATACATTTTTGTTAGATCTCTTTCTTTATAAAACAACTGGCTAATCCATTCCTTTAATCTATTTCTTTTGCCTCTTCTTGAATACAATTTTCTGTGCCCCTTCTTGGACATGCTGATATTAATGAAGGGCTCAGAAACAGGGAAGACGCAGTGAGCCCAGTACCCTTGCTCAGAACCCTGTCCTACTGTTTCAGTACCTTCTGTCAGCCCAGGGCTTCTTGTCCCAGAGCTCCCGACATTCTTGGGCAAGATCAGTAGGAAACCATGAAAGCCTTTTCACAAGTATTCTCCTGTGAAAGGTCAGGTATAGCCATAGCCACCATCAGTGAATGAGTTCCCTTTTCTTGCTAAATGCACTCATGAAATTTAATTTAGTTTTCTGTTACGTAGTTACTTATGATTCTTTCTTAGTCAATGAAAGTATAATTTGGTGGTTCTGAATACAGCTGAAAATTGGTGACATGATGACAAATGATTTGAAGAGCTTTTGGCTATGCTGCAGAGATTCTCACTGGAATGATTTCTGTTGCTTAATGTAATGGGGTATCCCCCTCCCCCATAGAAGTCAGAAGAGCTGAGTTTGATTCCTGGCTCTGCCTCTAACTAAAAACTTGAACAAGTCACTTTACTTCCAAGGGCCTCAGTTTTCTCTTCTATAAAGTAGGAAAAATAACACCTACCCTATCTATCACTTGTTTATGAGACTTTAAGGAGATAATTGATCTCTAAGAACTTTTTAAATAAGATAAAGCTAGTCAAGAGTGGAGCTGAGTCTGAGGTTAGACTGACTGTTTTTATCCTGAAGGCTAACTGCTTGGGCAGGCTGAGGCCCCAAGGGAGGCCAGCAGGTTGATGAAATTAGCAACTTTAGTAATGCTGAAATGTTCTTTTTTTGTGTGTTTTGAAGACAGCTCCCTGGCATTTGAGGGCAGAATTAGCCTGCTTTCTGGAGTTCCACTTCCCAAATAATCATAGGGTTTGGGGGCAGAAATTGAAGAAGCCTAGAGCTTGGGAGAAAAAGCCTGCGTAGAGAGGACACTCTCTTATGCCCCATATACCACACAGTACGTTTGTTCCTCCTGTGGATGGGTTAATAATAACAACTATCTATTATTAACAATAGTGGTTGCTATTTGTTGAGCATGTATTATCAGCCATGCACAGTGTTTTAGAAACTTTCCTAACCAAATATATCTGACATCAGAGGAGAACAAATTCGTTCCTGGATCGATGGGGAAATAGCCCAGAGCAGGTACTCCAAGGTTAAAATTTATTTGAAGTTTATGTGTTATCTTCAAAATTCATATGAATTTTATCCTGAGTCACCATTATATAGTT